TATATGCCAAGGCTAAGGCTTTGAAGGGGGCAACAAAAAATTCCCGTCATAGAACACAACCGTAGTCATTTTTCGTTCGCTGGTGTTCCTCTCTGATGTTCTGTTATCAGCCGAGTTGCTCAACCATCGCTGAACAGATATTCCTTTTTTTCGTATTTCTTAATACAAATGTTAAAAATGCAGTTTAATAACATTCCGATAGTTTCTGATAATATTATATATTCTATAACTAGCAGACTCGTCTAACTAAAAATGGTTAATAAGATTACGACCAAACAATACCTTGGCTCAATTTTGTTTACGAAAGTCATATGGAACGCCAGTGTGTGTGTGTGTGTGTGTGTGTGTGTGTGTGTGTGTGTGTGTGTGTGTGTGTAAAATAAGTTGCTCACATTCATCTCCATTTCTCTACCTTGTTTACAACGCTTTTATTCGATGTATAGCTCCTTATTGGACTACACTGTGTCTCATCGCCTGTGCTATTGTTCCTCACTACAGGTTAATTATTATGTTGAGGGAAGCTGTCGATCTCTTGGTTGGACATTCTCATTAAGTTGGCGTAATTCTAGTCAGGCTGTGATTGTATTGCTGGTCACCTGTTTGTGCATCGCATTTGGAGGAATCATTACCCTGAAATAATTGACACAGTGATTCTCTTACCTGTGTGTGTGTGTGTGTGTGTGAGTGGGTGTGTGTGTGTGTGTGTGTGTGTGTGTGTGTGTGTGTGTGTGTGTGTGTGTGTGTGTGTGTGTGTGTGTGTGTGTGTGTGTGTGTGTGTGTGTGTGTGTGTTCCTCCATTCAGCCTCCACTCTCCCCTCACTATCTTTTTATCTACGACAGGCGATGTTCACTTTAGAATGGGTAGGGTGACTTGTATGAAGTTAATATTCGTATGTTTAAGGTGTCGTGTCTGGTGTCCGTGTATGTATGACTAGGGTGGCCAACCTCTGAAACTGACTGGGGATGCTGACTGCCAGCTGTCAGTAGAGAGACAGAACAACCAAGATGACAGAAGAGGTCTCCCTGGCGAGTTCTTCCGACTATCGTTTTAATATTTAATGTTTGGCGTTTCATGGCGAAAATGTTCTATATAAATTACATTCGAGGTTGATGTACTGTAAATTTCCGCCTCTGTGTTCTCAGTTAGCGTATACTGACATGGTTAGCATATTCAAACATTTTTAAATATTCTTAAATATATTGTATAATCAGGTCTTGTAATAAGGTTTGGTATATACCAGACCCGAAGTTGAGCTAAAAAAAATCAATGAAAATTTTAAAAGTTCAGAGCCTACAGCCCTCAGCCTCCACGGGTGGTGTACATTGGACACACTGTACCTGATTGTGAGGGATCAATACATAATACTAAACAAGACTTTACATATAAGTATTGATAGATGTAGATATCCGTCAAGAAGGCAATTTATATTATACGTTTAACTACCTCACAACCACGAGCAGAGGTTGGTATTGTCATTGTCTGTACGTGTCTGTCCTTCCTACCTCATCGAGAGCGTCCGTACAGTCCTTTTTCACGGATGAATAAAACTTGAATTGTTTGGTTTGTGATCTAAGGTGATCATCTACTAACTCTGAGGTAACAAGAGGGACTAAGAATTATTCAACAACACACTATCTCAGGGCGGGGTGAGTGAGAGGGGGTAACACGCTTACTCACTGGGTCAATAAGTTATTCATTAGACGGAAAAGCCATTCCTTAAGCTACTAAACGATGTAAGTCAAGGTCACAGATAAAAGGGATCGTGTTAAGGCTCATTGGTTTAATCCTGTGACAGTGAGAGACGAGTCGGGTCTTACTTGTGTTGCATGAACAATCGTCTGACTTATAGTGATGAGCAACACTATAGCATACGGGAACTATGTTGAATATTTTGGAGACATGTGGTGTTGGTGTCCGCTCTACCGAAGGAATACAAAAAAGAAATGCGATGAATTTTTACAAAAAGGGTGTAAAACTATTTGTATGCAATTAAAACTGCCCACCCCTGGAGCACAACGCTGTGCTTTTAGCGGCTAAAACTTCTGTGAAATATAGTTTGCTGATTTACTCGTAATTTGTACCACATTTTACACCACACATTCATTACATAATCCAAGCATCCAATTAATTTGTATATGGAAAAAATGGTGTGATTTATTAAAAGACAGTGAAATGATTAGGTTAGGTTAGGTCAGTTTTGGTTAGTTTGAAACTATTCATTTATAAGTACCGGTACTGTATTATGATTATATGATCGTCTATGACTAGACAGAGGAATAAATAAATCTTCAAAAAGGAAGCGTCACGTCACGTGTGAGGATCACCTTATACTATGTACAAAACACAGCCCGACGACACTCACAGGTTGCTAGTGGAGGAGGACCTTGAACAGGTAGTGAGGCGGAGAGGACCTACTCCACCAACTAATACCTCCTTCCCCGTCAGTAATTGGACTGTGGAGTCTACTCTACCCCACGCCAGGGGCACTAACTCAGGCTGCAGCTGCTCTTTCTGCTATAACTACTGAAGGAGGTTCAGTGGCAGTAAGCATTGCCACAGGGCTTGTGGGGGTAGGGGGGGTTATCAGAACTTAAGGAATGATTTATGGGGTGGAGAGTACTCATTGGGGCCATACAAGCTCTCTCATTCTCTCTCGCACACACACACACACACACGTATGTAAACATAAACAAGTATACGCACTCCAACGTACATAGCGTGTAAGTTGGTACCTACATATATCTTACACCCAACAGATTTACTGCAAAATTTTAAATCGCGACACTAAAACTCCTTATTATTCACAACTGTTCATTCCTCTCCCCTCACCTTCCTCTCCCCTCACCTTCCTCTCCCCTCACCTTCCTCTCCCCTCACCTTCCTCTCCCCTCACCTTCCTTTCTCTCACCGTCTCTCAATCTATTTCTCACATTATCTTCTTTACGCACTGGGAGTATATCTGTCGCTAAGTTAGTTTTGTTTATATGAAGACATCATCATCGTCGGTGAGGCAAGAAATTTTTATACATGTGAATAAACTTAATACCACACATGTAGTTTATGCTCAGACATCTGACTTATGCGATCGTCTGTGTTTAAGTATTATGATGAAAACTAACTATTATGAAATTGGGTTTTAAAAATACAAAAAGTCCAATATATAAAATTTAATGAGCTGTATAACACATTTTGGGCGTTGCGTAAATAGTTTTCTATGAATTAAATGAATGAATAGACAACACTGAAAAGTTTTCCCATTAAGGTTTTTTCTTTTGAAAGTTGTGTGTAACAATGCACGATAAAAATTATTTAGATGTTGGCAAAACTACCAGAGGAAGCAACGAATTATCATGATAGGCTTTACTTACATATATTCAATGAAAGTTTTGAATTAAATGATAAACTGGAGATGATAAAGTTTATCCATAAGCTTGGCAGTGACTCATTCAGGTCTGGATACATAAGATCTTCATTTTGTACTAATTATTGATGTGTTTCGCTAGAGTTAGTTATACTTTCTCCCGCTTATCTAATCCAAGTTGATATTCCGTTCACCTTGCTTATGAATTTAGTTAATTTCTTAAGCAGCGTTTAGTTAATCTTAAAAAAAAAAATGTAGTCTCGAAAAAGAATCTAATTTTTAGGGCATTAATTCTTAAATTAAAACAAATTGATTAATATAAAAGAAACCATTATGCCAAGACTAAGTTATTTTATCTAAGTGTTCACGTCATCCATCATGGTTCAACAGCAGTACGTTTTCTGTGGTCGAGACAGGTAAATGCTGGAAGCGAGGTGTGTAGAGCACCTGTGACAGTACTTCTTAGTGTTCCCATTTATAAGTTGATATTTCTGTATTTTTATAGCTGCAACATCGACACTTATGGCTCCTGTTTAAATATGTCTTGTTTTACCCAGGAGTGTTAAGGATATTGTTACATTATATGGTGTTTAAGTCACTACATTTTTCTAAGATTATATAATGATGATGTCATCTGTAATTGTTTTAAATCAGATGACCTCACGTGCACTTTAGCCGTATTTACTGAATTTGAGAAAATAGAAACGATTTGGTGCACATTCAAAAAATAAATAAGAAAGACAAGAGAGACAGAGATAACAAGTTGAACACTTTGCTCAGCTGATTTATCTCATTCCCCCTCACTTAATAACTCACACACTTATTTCACCCGCCACCCTCAGTGTACCACAAGACTCCAGCAGTGTAGTCAAGTCCATCTTTCACTTTAAACTCAGATAACACTAAGATAATATATGCACTTGTTGGGTAAACACTGAAATCATGGCCCAAGGTGGAGGGTATGGAGCCGTGTACAGTAGTTTAATAATTGATTTATAACAGTTTTAACTCTGTAGAAGGACGTAGGTAAACATAACAGTATTACTGATGGGGGATGAGACTGGTGATGGCATAATGAAAAATGATGTAATGATACAGCTGATGGTGTCCACACTGCTCAACACTCAACCACCCCCAAAGACACAGACGCGCGCGTGGTATATATGTGTGTGTGTGTGTGAGCGCGTCTAGAGAGGCCAGGGCATCCTCCTTATCCACGATTCATTGCTGTCGGTATTTTTCAGGGATGTTCAGCGTTTTCTCATGAAAGGTGATACTGCATTCTTGGACCTGCATCAAAGGCCAGTTTACAAGTTTCATAGTTAGAGATTTTTTTTTATCGAAATAGTTCACAATGTTAGAGCAGTTCCTTAATTTTCTTTCACAAAATAAAAATACATGAAATTATGTGCTAGTTATTGGCCTTAATCAATATATAACTAGTCACAGTGCTTAAAGGGTTATATTATGAACAGTGTTTTTCCTGCTCTATATAATAGTTTCTCAGACAACATAAGAAACAATAGAAATACAAAGGTCTGACACTTTAGGTTTTAGTATCTTGTCCAGCCACCGTCTTCATCAATGACCGGTGCTAGTTTGTGTGTTAGTGCCCGGGGCGTCTAGACACTGACTCACAGTCCAGTAAGGTGTGGGACGGCCTCCATACTCTCCACCTCGGATGGAACCACAAGTCTCTGTGTGCAACTGCAAGTACAAGAAAATATGAGTGGACATTTAATACCATCTGGCTACGCGTACAAGGATTTCCACCTTACTCCCAAATCTGTCTTGGTTATTCACGCTTGGTAATGTCACGAGCTCTCATGTTAATCACCTGAAGGTGTTGATCTGTTGGTTGCTCTTAAGAGGTGCTTGACTTAATGAACTACGCGCTGTTGGACTGTCTGCCTCAGAACTCAATTTCATTCTCCGTTTCATTGTAGTCACTGCTCAAGCGATATCACTTGCACCTCTGTGATTCTCTGTAATACACGAAGGCACTAGACTGCATGTACCATAGAGTTAAGTACAGTGATATAATTTGAAGGGAGACGTAAAGTTGCTTAACCACTCCCCTGGGACCTGAATGAGACACCAACCATTGTTACGTGCTCATTATCTCCTTCAGATGTTGTGATGCTAAGGGAGGGTAAAGCTCGTTTGGGTCAACATATCTGCGAGGAATCTGTGAGGTTGACGGGGATAGGGTAAGGGAAGATCGTTGGAAGGGAACGATATGAACAGAAAAGAACGATAACTCGACAGGTGCCTTGTCATCTGATAGAATCTAAAGAAACGAAACAATTTAAGGCGAACTTCACATAGAACACCGGGAGGTAAACACAGGGCTTCATTACATAGGCTCAACAAAATATCCGTATGAATGACAGTATCTGATGATCAGGAGAATTTTATCAGTTAAGAGACTGAAGCTAAGAGTAAAATAGTGAACTCTACATATTAATTTTCACTAAAACATACCAGTAATTAATTTACAATGAATCTAAAATAAGTATCAACTATATTATGCAAAACTAATTAAATAAATATAGCATACAGCATATTTCCTAAAAGCAACATAATATTTCAATGTCAGAAATTTTGAGAGTTGAGAAGATTTCAACGGGCAGTGCATGATGTTCTAAATTAATTTGTTCTTGAAATTATAAACTTATATTTATTTACTGCCATAAAATTATAATTTGTTTTTGATAAAAATCTTGTTTTCGGAGAGTTACTTTCTAGAGACTGACTTTACGCAGAGACTTACTTTACGTACACACTTCAGTGCACGTTCTGAATGTCAAAGACCACAGCTGTATTTTGTTAATACTGACATAAAGTCATTCATTTACGTCCATGGATGTACTAATCATCCAACATCTTTTATTTAAGAAGAAAAACTTTACCTCCCTCGTATATAAAAAGAAAATGAATTTCACTGATATTTATCACAACAACATACTTACCTTACGAAAAATTATATACATACATTTAACATTGGATCATGGAGGACACGATCTTTAAACAGTGAGTTTTATCTCATAATTTTTAAATTTTGGTTTGATAGTTTAATTACTAACCTTGTTACGCTCTTCAAGACCTTAGTCGTTGAAGCGCAGTAATAACCTATAACAACGTAAGCTGTTTCGTGTGATTATTGATACCCTGTAATTATTTATTCCTCACCTATAATGCCCTACACCAATCAACATCCACTAATTGTGAGAATATGTTATTGCATTAGTACCACAGCCCCCTCCCCCATCCTGGCCCCACATGAAGACTAGAGATGTTAAGAGTGGTTGTGTGGATAGTGGTGTAGGTGGGCGTTAGAAGGAGCCTCTGTCATTATCATTCCCATTGGTTCACCTCTGTTGTCTCACCTGTATCGCCTCCTACCTTTGGTTATCGTTAGTCATGTATTCTGGTAACTTTTAAAAGGTCTAACTGGCGCAATTAGACAGAATATTTGCTTCTACAAGGACGGTCTACCTCGATCCCTTTCCCTTTTTTTCGGGTAACTCAGTATACAGGAGGACCTCGGTACTTTTCTGCGAGTGCAGTTTTTTCACTGTGTTAGATTAACCAGCTGCCGCCTACCTCCCTGCATTTGTATTTTCGGTAAAAATTATATGAAAATGGAGCTAAATTAGTCTAGTAGTGGGAGGGATCGAGCAAGATATTATTATAATTAGAAGCAGCTGGTCCCTAAAGCGGGCAGGTGTAAAGAATACTCGGCGTTATTATCCTGAACAAGCGGATCCTGAGGGAGTCAGGCCTAACAAGACGGTGGAAGATGGGGGAGTCCACGTAGTGAGGGGTCTTATGCCTCGGGAGACGACTCCTCGTTACAACCTTCACTTTAACATGCAGTAAGACAATTAGTTTTCTTACCCCTTGTGGATTTATCTGAAGGAGATATAAGCTACCTTTTTTCTTAACTTGCGTCGTGTTTTACAAGTACTTACCAGATGACACTCTTCGAGGGACGTGACTCAGGCTGTTGAGGTTTGAAAATGTGAATACTGAGTAACACGAACTGATGCTGGAGTGTGGCTGAGTGATATGGGTTGTTTTAGTCATGGGTGGTTGTGATAACATACTGTACTGTAGAGATATATGTTTTGAGAAAAACGCACATAATGTCCCAGTTAAGTATATAGTTAGTTACTTAGGTACTTAAGAAATATAATTTTGAAAATCCATTGAAGGCCGATGAAGTGATTCTGCCGATTTAGTTTTTTGTTTTGGTAAAGTGTATCACTGGAGCCCCAGGAGTTGAGTGACTCCGCCCTTCCCCAGGGAGAGTAACCCGGTCTCCCTTAAGATACAGTGGACATTGTTAGAAAAATGCTGAAATAAATTTTCTGTTTCATAATTTTGTATTTTAGAAACAATAGTTTGTTGTACATAACAAGGGAAGCTTAAAAACTGTTCATTTAACATACAACAGTAAATCAATTATTTATATATTAATTAAAAAAAGGTGCCTGGAATCACTCGCTATATTATTATTTCATATTTGTCTAAAGGGATGAAACTTGCAGTGGGAATGTATACATATTTTTTTCACAAGAATTACAACATTGTTGCTCGCTATGACAACATCCCACACACATTATCAAGGCTTCACGAGTACTAATGCCTGGAGTTTAGACTTAAAACCCCCTTTGTGATTTTTTTTATTTGATTTAACAAATTTATGTTTTCCAGTTTTCATTTGTCATGGAATAATACTCTGATCGCCCCTTCACCTTTTTATTTCCATTTTTTTTAATCATATTTATTCAGTGTTGATTTTTTCATTCATTCTAAACTATCCTATGATGATGACTTTTGTTTAATATTAGATTATACTGTATTGATATTAGTTAGAGTCGACAAACTGATATAAAACTTCAGTGACTTATGTATTTACACGATACAAATATATGTGTGTAAGTGTGGATCCGAGAAATCGTCATAATGACAATACACTCGCTAAGTCTACCGTCTACCTCCTTTAGCATTTCGACGTCACCACTCTCTTCCTCTACGCATAAACACCTGAGCAGTCATCGATACTACCTGCCTGTATGACTTCCTTTGAAACAACGTAATTCTTTCATCTTCTCCCTCATTAAATCCCTTTGAAATTTCGTATCTCCGTCCCCCGAGCTCTTCCCGTCATCTCTCTGTTCCATTTCACAGTTATGACAGGAGCTGCCCACACTGCTTCCTCGTGTCTCGCAGCGTTGAAGTTTGCTCCCAAGTTGGAGGTCAAATGGCCCCAGTCCTGATAAAATTCAAACTAATAAACTAAACTATTCGAATTGGAGGTCAAGACAATCGGAGTCTATTTGATCTTGGGCTCATGACGACTGGGTGCCACTGGGAACCATAAGGATTTTGGGTCCAATCCTTGATGACTATGTTAGGTTGTGGTTTATTAGAACTGGGACACAATTAAACCAGTTATCGTTCTTTCCCTTCCCCTAGAGTGCCTCACCACGAAGTGTACTTAACTTCTAAACCTCTGGGTCTTGCGATAATCCTAATTAAATAATAATTAGTTTTCTACGTTATAAATGCATCGCCTCTACCACGGGAGACGTATAACCCTTTCTTACTGACAAAGTTTGCTGTATCTGCATTTAAATTAGAAAATTATCTCCGTGAGCATAAAATGTAGCTGTGAAATTTTGAGATCGTGATTTAGAAGTAGTTTACCAGGTGCGTGACAAAACACACCACAACGCTTGATGTTAGACACAACGTGATTATTTTGTTTTAGTCAGTTTCCTCACGTTCTGCCCGAGTTTCCTCTTGATTGTTAAACCTGGGAATCCTCAGCGGTAAAAGTCCGGAAAGAGAGACTCGACAGAAAACGGATGTAAGAAATCATTTGAGCTGGGAGTGAATGACGAAACTTTTCCACTCTACTGTAACGAGACTCAAATGTTATAATGGGGAAATTTATAGTAAACAAGAAAAAAGTTATTATTTTTCTAAGCTGCTCTTAGAGTGTCAAGAGCTACAAGGAGATGTAAACTTACATCGTTTATTTATCAAGTCGTGGCCCGAGTGCAGTGTTTACTTTCTTAATGGCTTAATGGGCAGATAGGTAGGTACTCCACCATGACGTCATCGCGTGGTTCATGGACGTCACTCTGACATCACTGAGACGCAAGGAATACGTCATAATGTTTGTCCGAACTGTTGTTTGTATTTTTACTAAAAACTATTTCTGAAAAATCAAAAGATTGGGTGATTATGACATAAATATACGCACGAGGAAGTTTAATAGATAATTAAATTTGCCGAAGAGAAACAAAGGAGGTGACACAGTCGTTAACACTCATTATACCGTGTGATGAATACACCCATCAAGGTGTTATTAACTTGCCAGCAAGTTTAAAGTTTGACAGCGGGCCAAGTCATGTGTTTCACTTGTCACTAGTCTCTTGACAAGCACAAGTGGTCTTGACAGGGATGTTTTCATGCCGTTTTTCTCCGAGTTTTTGCCACAATCAGTATTTCAACACATGGGAATAGTAATTTTCGGTAATTAGTGATGAGTCTCTTACTGAAAAACGGGGATGTTTTAACCTTCCCAGCTCTGTGAACGATGTTAGGCCAGGGGCTCCCGTGTTACTCTGGTGAGTTATGAAGTTTGTTTTCATTTCGTAGTGGTTACGGCACGACTCGTCACAGGCCACAACACAATCCAGAAAGTCTGGCTCCCAATGAATCGATGTTTCTATTGTTTACAAATACATATACAATTGACTTTTTGTTCGCCCGTTAACATCAATGAAACCCAACAAACTGCAACCCTTCAGTGTGTCAGTTCATTAAGAATAATATCATCTGTTCACGCAGCATTCTCCAGATCTCCAGTAATAACCCAAATTATTCACTGGTAATATTTACAGACAATTACGTCAGCTTTAGATCTTATTTCGAATCATTTATAAGTTCCTCGTAACCCTAAAGTTTTTTTTTGTATCACCTAAAATTCTTGCACAAGATTGATCTTAATCTTGCTATGCTTTTTGGGTTATATGGTGAACGTCTGTTGCGGTGTTACTGTGCCAGTGATAAAGTTTCATAGGTCCGCTTTATCTATGTGTGTGTGTGTGTGTGTGTACGTACGTAAACAGCTTAAAAACTTTACCGGTTTCCTGGACTCTGGATAAAAAAAAGTAACTAACAGTAACATATAAGACTCCTTTTCTTTATAACACGCAGATTAATTTGAGGAGAGACAGCCAGTAGGAACAGGCAGGTAGCAGGAGGGTACAAGAAAACAAAACAGAGGAACAGACAGCAAGTAAGGGAAGGAAAACAACAGGCAGGGAAAGAAGTTCAACGGGCAGGGGAGAAAGGTCAGCAGACAGGTGAAGAAAGACAGTTGATAGGTTCAGAGGGATTACTGTATATAAGAAGGGGAAGGAAAAAGACAGACAGACAGACAGAATATAGGATCAGACATATTAGAACTATTGATACTGAATAACAGCAAGACGTAGGGGTAAAATATAACACAAATCACGGAGAAAGTTGATTGATTGACGGGTAACTCTAACATTGTCACTGGCAGCTGAACAAGGTTGTGATCCAGTAGTCTGTGCGTTTTTATTCCAAGTCTAATTAAAACGCCCGGGAGTTCATTACAAAGGTGTAAATTGTAATTAGTAGAGAACGGTGACACACTTGGAGAGAAAGGCGGTGAGGTGCGGTGGCCAAGTGGATACAACCCTCACCTATTTTCCTAAGGGTGGCTGAAACATATCCAAAGCATTCTTGGTCATCTTACCTGTAAACGAGTACCTGACTTTTCTGTTGGGGAAGGAAGTCGGGTACAGTGCCGGCCTTTCTGCATCCCTTGTGTAGGCTAATAATGGCTTAGTACTCAGTGTGTCGTTAGCGATCTGCCAGGCCTATATAGTATCCATTTTCGCTGTCATTTGTTGTGTATAAAATGGTCTGGGGTAGAAAATATAAATAAGTTCTCAGTGTCAGTGATAAATTGTTTTGTAGTCTTTTTGTTTTTATATATTTTCACACTAATAGAAGATGATAGAAGATAATAAGGAAAAAGTCAAAGCGAAAAAGAGACGAAAACGCACATTCAAAAATTAAATAAACTTCACATTAATTCTTCTACCAGGAACCTTCGGCAGCCTTCAGAACAACATGACTACACCACTTGGCTCTACCCATCACCACACCCTACCATTAAACAATACGACTACACCACCACAACACCCAATCCACTCCCACGTCAACACTTATCACACCATCACGGGATCACCGCACACGTCTCGCACAACTGCCCCCATTCTGCTATTTATTAAACCACAAACCAGTGCTCTTCCAGACTTGTGTCCTCAGGCTACTACAACTTTACCAATGCCGCCAAACCCAAACAAATTATCTAGACAACAAACCCAACCCACTGCCTTTGGAGTCATACCTTGATAGGGAACACCTTGAACCCTGTAGCCTCGACTGAAGGAATACTGAGAGCCCAAGAGTTTCACTTTAATATAGGGTATACCCTGAACCCTGAAGTAGCATATTCATTCACAAAACAGCCCAGATTTTGTAGTCTCATTAATACAGAAATTACCCCGACCCTGGAGCTTCTGACATACGATTGTGGAGCCTCTCCGCAATACAGTCAACAGGCCAAAAACACAGTGAGACTCCGCAGCTGTGATCACTTGTGAGTCAGGCGGGAAGGGTGGCGTAACCCCATTCTCATTCTTAACGTAAGGACTTAGTCTCTAAAGCAAGGTTAGTATTTCACGGTCCACACTCTGAGGCAGCTCAGGTTGCTATCAAGCCCTGAGACTCCGCAGCTGTGATCACTTGTGAGTCAGGCGGGAAGGGTGGCGTAACCCCATTCTCATTCTTAACGTAAGGACTTAAACTCTTAAAGCAAGGTAGTATTTCACGGTCCACACTCTGAGGCAGCTCAGGTTGCTATCAAGCCCTCGGGCATCTGTTGAGGCGCGTAGTGGGCGAAACGTGCGCTCGTGAGGCCTCGCACCCTGTTGTACTCTTCCTGCTAGCATACCGTGGGATTTAAAGTTAAAGTCTTCATCACCTTACTCTTGTAGGGAGTATCTAGAGTCAAGTGGGGCACTTCTGTTGTACTCCGCATGCTAAGACGGCGATGTTCAAAGTGAAGTCTGCTTGTCCTTACTCTTGTACAGTATTTTCAGAGTGTAAGGGGACGAGCAGAGAATTCTATTGTACTCTGGGCGCTAGGTGGGGCTGGATTCAGCAAGAAGCTTATGGGAGGATATATTTCATTAATTCAGAAAATCTCCACTGCATATTGAATTATTATTATTACCAGAGGATTTATAATTTATCTTGCTTCGGTAAGTAATACATCAGGTGTTCCCCCCTCCCTCCCTCTCTTCTCACATGGTAATAACTTTGCTGTACTTGGGGGTGGGCGTGACCTGCAGTGGCCTCGACCTCCTCCGAGCGATGCCCTCGTCACAAGGCTCAAGTCTTACCTCATCATCCCGGCGCCCCTCACTTGTTGGTGGGGTCCTTCACTCTCGCCCTTCACCCACTGCTACAGTATACACGGTACTTCTACCATATACCATAATAAAGATAATACAAGCACACGCCACCCTACCCCACAGTACACAGGTACAGTACTGGCACACGCCACCCTACCCCACAGTACACAGGTACAGTACTAGCACACGCCACCCTACCCCACAGTACACAGGTACAGTACTAGCACACGCCACCATACCCCACAGTACACAGGTACAGTACTAGCACACGCCACCCTGCACCACAGTACACAGGTACAGTACTGGCACGCCACCCTACCCCACAGTACACAGGCAGTACTAGCACACGCCACCATACCCCACAGTACACAGGTACAGTACTAGCACACACGCCACCCTGCACCACAGTGCACAGGTACAGTACTAGCACGCCACCATACAGTACACAGTAGCACACGCCACCTGCACTACACAGGTGCAGTATAGCACACGCCACCCTACCCCACAGTACACAGGTACAGTTAGCACACGCCACCATACCCCACAGTACACAGGTACAGGCTACACGCCACCCTACCATACACACGGCCCCACAGTACACAGGTACAGTACTAGCACACGCCACCATACCCCACAGTACACAGGTACAGTACTAGCACACGCCACCCTACCCCACAGTACACAGGTACAGTACTAGCACACGCCACCATACCCCACAGTACACAGGTACAGTACTAGCACACGCCACCCTACCCCACAGTACACAGGTACAGTACTAGCACACGCCACCATACCCCACAGTACACAGGTACAGTACTAGCACACGCCACCCTACCCCACAGTACACAGGTACAGTACTAGCACACGCCACCATACCCCACAGTACACAGGTACAGTACTAGCACACGCCACCCTACCCCACAGTACACAGGTACAGTACTAGCACACGCCACCATACCCCACAGTACACAGGTACAGTACTAGCACACGCCACCCTACCCCACAGTACACAGGTACAGTACTAGCACACGCCACCATACCCCACAGTACACAGGTACAGTACTAGCACATGCCACCCTACCCCACAGTACACAGGTACAGTACTAGCACACGCCACCCTGCACCACAGTACACAGGTACAGTACTGGCACTCTCCACCTTGTAACACAATATACAGGTACTGGCGCTGTTCAACTTACAACACAATATCCTTAATACGTTAATCGCCTTGGTAAACACATGCACGATATATGATAGGCAAGGTGTACAGTTCACCGTATATATCGTGTATGGTAAGTTTTTATGAAATATACTGTATATGGTAATGATTGTGTGCATTATACTACAAATAAATTTCATATATGCACACACACAGATATATATATATATATATATATATATATATATATATATATATATATATATATATATATATATATATATATATATATATATATATATATATTATGTCGAGTGATATATGTGTGTGTGAATGATTTGTGATGGTATGCATAATTTATGCAGTGTATCAAACAATATATATTCCAAACGCACGCTATACACTGTACGACGAATATAAGCCAAAAAATCTCAAGGGATGTTGATGTTGGATTTGTAAGTGTGGGCGGAGGAGGTCCCTGTTTGTTGAGTGTCACAACATAACACGTTACGGCCTCCAATATAACTCTGAGGGCGATAGACCGAGGATTACCGTCTTCTTTACCGATAACATGATCATCCTTTACCCGAGAAAGATCTTATTTTCAGGACGTAACTGAATCGCGGGGTACAAAGTAAAGATGTAAAGTGACAGTCCTCCCGCCTTAAACCAATAAATTTGTTAAACTAAACTAACCTCCCTCTCTCTCTTCTTCCCCCTTTCATTTTAGCATCATTCCCTGCCTCTTTCTCTCACGCTTTATCCATTACTTCCACCCTTTGCCTCCCTCTATCCCCGTTGTTCACAGGTAAACAAACAAGCCTCACTTTCCTCTCCCTCAACATGAGTGAAAACCAAAAAATAAATATACGTGTAAAGTCTCTTTCCTCCGCCTGATTCACCTACTGTGAGTCCACACGACCAATTACACGCTCAGGTTGTCAGTTTTGGGAAACGTTCACTGATGCATCGACTAGTGTCATAAACTTCTTCTCAGTAAAGGTTCGTAAAATGGATTTTTTCCCCGTTGAGTAAGAACGACTTTATTCTTTTACTCTATGTATGAAGTCTCAGGTATGTAAGTCATGTTGTTGTTTATTCACGCTAATGACAGTAAAGAATGAAAAAAAAACAATGATTAAGTCTGGTACCAAAACAAACCAACAACAGTGCAGTATTTTGCTTAACCCCAATACTTTTCTTACAAACATTTCATCAAGTTTTTTTTCATAAATATCTACATACAAAAAAATCTATGAACATTGGAAATCATATGAAATCGCCCTGTACAAACTACCATTACTGGGTCATTACATCCGTGGCATATATCATTGCAGGATCGCGAATAATAGCTTATGATTGTGGTAGTTTTAATGATAACGATAAAATAAGTTTATATAAGCTTATTAAGACTCACTCACCCATGTGCCTTGTGTCCTCTTTACCTGCCAGTCTCACGGTCCTTCCTGGCTCCTTCTTTATCTTAGTTCCTCTTCCTCAGGCTCCTCTTCCTTAGGTTCCTTTTCCTTAGGTCCCTCTTCCTCAGGTTCCTCTTCCCCAGGTTTCTCTTCCCCAGGTTCCTTTTCCTTAGGTCCCTCTTCCTCGTGTCCCGCTTTCTCGTGTCCCTCTTCCTCATGTCCCTCTTCCTCAGGTTCCTCTTCCTCACGTTCCTCTTCCCCAGGTTCCTCTTCCTCCGGTCCCTCTTCCTCCTCCTCCCCAGGTTCCTTGCGCCACCCCCGAGACTTCAAAGGTTTGACGGAGCAATCAAGACCCTCCACATGTTTACCCTTTGACTCGGTCTTTCCTAACACAGGTACTTCTTAATGATGTTTTGCAATTTCTTCTTTCGTTACACCTGGATGTTTGTCTGGTTATATTTTGTAATTGTTGTTTTTAGGTTGGTATCTCTTTTGTTTAAGTCAGGCGATTTTTTTTTTAATTGTAAAGCCGATTTCCTTCTGTCGTTGTTATTAATTTTTTTTAGCGGCTCCACTACGCCAGGGACTCTGCCAAGACTTTTATTGATTCCATTAATTTCAGGTTAGTGATGTTAGAATACAAACGGGGGCTTACCTTACAAACATTTGAAGATAATACTATTAATTTATGAATGTTAGATGATGTCTGTATGGCTTACACCTGAAGAGTAAGTAAAGAGGAGAATTACATTGTCAGGGGATGAAAGAAAGGAGAATAATTTATCTGTGGGGTTTAGATGATGGAGTGTTGACAAGCAGTGGCGAACGTCGAGTAGAGGAGGAGGAGGAGGAGGAGGAGGAGGAGGAGGAGGAGGAGGAGGGTGTAGTCTAGTGTGGGTGGGTTTTTTTTAATACGTTTTGAACATTGGTTTTCCCATTTCTCTCATAAACATTTGAGTAATATCTGTTTTCTTCTTTTTTATCTTGCCATCTCCAATACGTCTCAACGAACATTCCCGTGTTTTATATTGACTTTTGACAATTATAAAGGTAGACCTGAGTTCCTAAATGCATAAATGTGTTTCCTTATGCTGACTTTTCTAATTAAAAACATTCATCTAGTTCTTGTTCAGTTTTCTCTGGCGCAGTAAACCACAACAATATATATTTGCTTACATTTCATTTCCTCTCTCTCGGTATTATATTCAACATCACAACCTCATTCTTCTTCTCCCACTAAAAAAAAAAATATCGAGTAACAATGGAGAGCGCTACACCTTTTACTCCCAGTCTGTCCCCAGGTGTCGCGTGAGCTGCCACTTCAAATTGTCAAAACCTTTCATCCACACCCTGGGAAAAGAAGGCTAACCGTAGCTAAGTCTGGAGCTTATTGTCTTGAACACTAGTAAACGTTCCGCCTATTCAGCTCTCCAAACCTTTGCTCTGCCAGATATTACAATGGCATGAATGTCTTGTAGTATTTAGTTGTTTTTCTGTGCATATAAAGAAAATCGATCTCCCAGGTTTTATGGCTGATGTTTTTAACGTGAAGCATCAGTAAATCCATTAAGTTCTTACTCGTTATTGTGATGCCTTTATGGTTATAACAGAAGTGATAATAACACTCACAGCAGCATAATTATGAACGGTAAGCTGAGTGAGAGGTTTAATTAATAATGCTTTTGTCTGGAATGAGTCGTAACGTTATTATTATGACTTATTAATATGATATTATTAGTAGTACTAGAGTAACAGTATTAGTAGCTGTAGTAACTGTGGCAGTGATATTTTTTCTACTACTACTACTACTACTACAACAACAACCAATATCACCTCGCCTACTGTTAAACGTTGTATCAGTTAATAATAATAAACAAAAAAAACACACACACAGAACAACTATTCCAACTGGACGAGATAAAGACGAAACAAAACACAACACAACATGAAGTCGTTGGCACCCTGTCAGTCTATGGCACTCAACCCCAAGAGCCTAGCAACTCCTCTTTGAGTGTTTACAAACAGGTGACCAACTGGCCTCTTATGCCCTGTTCAGCTGAGCCCCAGAGAACGTCACCTCGACATTTGTAACCCAAACATGCTTGAGACGTCGGAGTAAACATTGGGTCGAGTCTACTTACCATGGCGTCAAATTGTGTTTAAAAAGAGACGTGCTCATGATGATTTCTGGTTGAGAGAGAGAGAGAGAGAGAGAGAGAGAGAGAGAGAGAGAGAGAGAGAGAGAGAGAGAGACCCCACTATCAACAAGTAGAACAACATCACTAGGTACAAGAACACACATCACTGCATCACCAAGAGCAAAATTGAGAGAGGCGGAAGACCGGGAAGTTGTGATAACCTGTGATGACTCCTTAACAAGTGTGATGGAGAGATGGAAGTTAGAGGTGGGACTTCCCTT